CGAGGTAATTTCATACAGCGTGTCGTTTGTTGATTTATTTTCTGCATCTCGTTGTAGATATATCGTCATCTTAATACACTCATTCTCTTTCTCACTTTTTCTCTCAACTATTCGTTACTCGCATTATGAAACTTCGCACTGTTTGCAATTGCGTTGCATCCATAATATCGATACATTTATATTATCTCTTCGGCCTCCTTTTTTTACAGACATATCGAATTATATAGCTCTTTCTCTCTCTCTCTCTCTCTCTCACACACACACACACACACACACACACACGCACGCACACAAAACATACATACATATAAAAATTATGTATAGAATCTACTGCGTCATAATTACAAAGTAACTACATACATATTTTATATAATCCTCGTAGAAGCAGTATCTCTCTTCTTACAGACGCGAATCACATCGACGGACTTGAGACAGGAAAAATGTGACGACTCGTAAAAAAAACCAAAAAAAAACTAAAAAAAAAACTTAACAATTTTGCATGATTTTTTATATTACAATATTTACGGGAAAGCCTGAAGAGAAACGCAATCGTCCAAATCCACATTTACAAACAGTTCGCTCTATAAGTATAAAAAAATCTCAAAAACGCAGCCTGTCTGCCATACATCTTGCACGTATACATTTAAACATGAACTGTATATGTATAACATGTATATAATACACTCTCAGTGTAGACGCGTTCTCGTATCGTGAAATCGAAAGGGCAAGATCTCTACCGTCCAAGGAACTTACTTAGCCACGGATTATTAGCGCTATACAATCGTCATATCCTTATCCTGACGTCGGGAAAGAAGAGAGTCACGTCGCATCACATTTTTATCTCGCGAAAGAATTTCTCTTTCTCTCTGTCTCCGTTATATCTTGAGTCGTTCTTCCATAATAAATAACACGTAATCTTAACCACCCTATACGAGAGAGATCTCAATAATAACACATCACTGTCTGACAATTCATGCGCGTTCAAAACAGGAAGTTTCGAAGCAAATTTGCGGGAACGAAACGCAAGTTTTGTAAAATCCGACGATTCAGGAGTACTTTATCACCACAAAAAATAAAAGCCTAATCATCCCAAAAGCCTAATCGCACCATAACATCTTACAATAATTATACTTTTATAATAACCAATCTATAATAATTCCATCCTCGTCTATACACCGTGTTTGCTTTCCTTTCGTTTCCACAATAATCATCTGCACCCTTCATAATCTCGCAAACTTTCTACATAACGCATGGCATTTTTGTTAACGACCCATTCTTTCCTCTCGTTTAAATCTATTGTTTTATGTGCTACTTCTATAATGTTTGACAGAGATAAATTCGCTTAACTATTTGAATGTGCCTATCGTTTGTATCGTATTTGCTTGCTTGCAACCCTGAGACTACGATTCTACCTTCACGGCGAATCGGTGATTACATATGTATGTACAAAGAAAAATGCTTGAAAGAGTATGAAACTTCCAGCAGCGTATACAACAATATCTGACGCTTTTTTTTCTTCTCTCTCATTCTCTTTCTATCTTTTTTCGATGAGATGACGCACAAAAATATCTGCCCTTGTATGCCCTTAAAATCTTTCTGTGTCCATCGTGCCGGCACGATTGGAGGGCCTTGAGGGGGTAACTTTGCGACATGAAATAGCAGGAGTTGCACGATTGTTAGTAATTGATCGTAAACTTACGGAGAAAAAATAATTCAAAATTTAGCGTAAAGAACGGAAGGAAGAAGTCGGGACGAAAAGTCGGCGAAAATTATCCTGATTTATCTCTCAAGTGAAAGAAATTGGGACAATTGGGAAACTTTGAGAAACGTATCTGTGGATCAACGGATACTTTTAACACCACCGCGGTTCCTTCGACACGCGCGCGTTCAATAAAGGAGTGAAAAAAGAAACATTAATTCTACAAATTAACAGCAATAATGAAACATGTAATGTAATGCGCCCAGTAATGCGAATATCACAGTTAAACGGGAACGCTCGTTAGCCTTAACGAAAGACAAAGAAAAATATCAGTATCACGTTACATGGAGAATGTCATCGGAGAAAAAGCCTTTTTTAAATTTTAATGAGCTTGAAATACGTTGATGTACATACATAACACGGTAAAACACAAATTCTCTGCAAAGTAAAATTTCAGATATTTCTGCAATTCTTTACAAAAACTTTCGATCTATGCGTGTTGCTCATAGAGCACAGAATATATCAACAATATTGCTGGAACATTTTCTGTGATTTTTATGATATTCATATTTTTATTCATATTAAAAAAAAAACAAACGATACTCAGACAATTATATATATATATGCAAGTAACAGATAAAAAAATATTTTACAAAATGTTTTCAAAACTGCCCAAAACACATCAGTGTTAAATATTTACTTTAATATTATCTTTTGTTGAGAGCAAAGTTTTCTTTTATAAAACATTTTTTCGGATAGCATTAATTCTCATACAATACAAAACATTACAGCCATGTCACTACAAGAAAGTTGGAATTGCAGAAATATTTTATAGCAATATTGTGTGTACTATATTTGTAATAGTAATGCAACATTGCTACAAATATATAATAAAATTTCATATCATCATAAGTTTAAAAGAGTTATTCCGCGTATTTATATTTACTAATAAGTAAACCTGCCCAAATGTGACACTCCGATTTTGATGAGTTTTTAATATGTTGTTTTCCAGACAAAAATAAGCGAATTGTAATAAGCACAATTGTTATAATAAATAAGTTTTGCTTGATATATATCGGCGTTTGCGTTAAAGTTATCTGCGCTTGACTAGTGCCCTTTTCTTTCCAAGTTTGTTTTTAAATTGTACAGGAGTTTTTGTTATCTAACATTATTATATGTTTTAAAAATAAGCGACATGTATTTTTTTATATGTGCCCATATCTACTTTTAAGGAGTAAAACCATCCTCTTTGAAAAAAAATCAGTTTTTCTCTTTCGAAACGAATATCTTCGGAACTATATAAGAGATAGAAAAATATGTCTAGAATGGAATCGCTTCAAGAGTACTTTAGAAATGTAATTTAAAAAATTATTTTTATAAATAAATAATTTTTATTATAAATAAATAATTAAAAAATTTTAATTATAGTTCTAAAGTACTCTTGAAACCATTCAATTTTCATTCTAGAAATTTTTTTTTACTTATAGCTTCGAAGATATTTGCTTCGAAAGAAAAAAACCGATTTTTTCCTAAGGAGTGTTTCACCCCTTAAAAGTGCGTATGGGCACGTATAAAAAAAATACGTGTCGCTTATTTTTGTCTGGAAAACAACATACTAAAAACTCATCAAAATCGGAGTGTCATATTTGGATAAGTTTACTTATAAGTAACAACTTTTTAATTTTTATCATTTTCAAAAAAACAATATTTACTAGAAAATGAAATCAGGTGTGAATGTCTGAGTAGAAAAAAATGTATATGATTGCAACAGTTTCCGTTTTTTTTTCTCTTTTATTACGTTAGATAATCAAGAAAGTAGTAATAGATTACTAGAGAAACGTGAAGAAGAATAGCGAGTGCCAAATTGAACCGCAAATTGTTTTCCACAGATTTAAATGCAGAAAGAATAAGGAAAAAGGCTCTCGCAGCCTATGAGCAGAAAATAAGGACAATTAAAGGACAACGAAAGGATATCATTTTGTTATTAAGGAAAGTGAATTGCGTGTCCTAACTTTATTGCACTCTAAACCCATGACGGTTTAGACCCATGACGTATGTTCACATGCGGTTTTTGTCACTTCAGCCTTGAAAAAATAATTTTTATAATTAAAAAATGTAGGATATCTTTTTTATCATCAATTTTCTATTGTATATAAGACATGAATAAATAAAAAAATAAGAGATAAGATAGAATTGAACTTGAATCCATTGTTTGTGTTTTTTTTAGATGGCTTACTATTAACTCTACCTTTTAACTCTGAACTAAATAAGTTTCTTCCGTACAACTGAAGTGATTACAAGTGAAATTGATAAAAACCGCTGCAGACTCATGACTGATAATCATCAAACGAAGTTCCATGAAGTTACTCATCTTCTATGTATCTCTCGTTTTCTCAAAAAATTTCTTATCATGAAAGGCATGTATAATGTTATGATCACGCATAAATGTGTCAATAATATTATGCTCGCTGATTTTTGTAATAATTAGTGACAACTAGATAATAAAGATCCCTGAAAATATACTAATAATATTAATTATATATATCAATGTAATAATAGTGATCGTAATGTGTTAAATAAAAATAATAATGTTAATAGCTATATATTAGCAATAATATATTTTTCTGCTTCTTCTCTTATGTGGCACGGGCATAACATAACACGATCGTTTTAACAACCGGATAAATACTTCTACCGCCAACAAAAGCATGATAATATGGCAATTGCTCTAGCCGATAATTCTTAAAATATATATATTTCAAATATAAAATCCCAATCTTCTGTGTAGAAACAACGTGTTTCCAATTAAGAAACAATTTAGACATTCTACCCGCTATCTTTCTTCCGTTCGCTTTCTCTCACCTATTTTAACTTGATCTCATTTATATTGTACAAAGATGTATTCTAAGATAATATACAAAGACATATCTTTCTCTACATCACTATAACTATGGATGTTCAATACAGCTATCACAAATAGATCGATTAACATTATTCAATTTTTTTCACATTTAAGCTATTATAATTACAAGACTTAATGCAAAAGAGGCAATATGTATATAATATATGTATATATATATATATATATTATATATATAAATGAGTATACATAACATGTATATATATTGTATACATACATGTATATATTTACACATTTATGTATGTGTATATGTAACTCACAGAAGGTTCCAAATTGCTCCTGTTAAGATACACAGTGAATAAAACAAAACAAAAAAAAAATAAAAATAAACAATGATTAATAGAGAAAATTCCATTTGACAACAGTAATTTTGATTGCTGATTCTTAATATCAATGATATCATGGCTACGATGTTAAACACCCACAGTTATTTACATCTTATCTTATAATTACTATATTCAGTGTTACGATCATGACGATCGAACGGAAACACTTTATTTGGTAATAAAGCCATCGATTGGCTTCCACATACACCTATCCTAAAATGAGTACTCCGAAAGTCTTCTCGCATCTTGTACTGTTATGTTCCAACATAAAAATTACATTTTTTCTCCTTTTTTTCTTTCTTTCCTTTTTTATCTTTTTTTCTTTCTTACTTTCTTTCTGTACCTGTATAAGGGGTACTTGACAAGGAAAGTTTGGATACTTCGAACGAAGACTACACATGTCTACCATTTAGAACGATTCGTGAATCACAACGAACGTTGGAGACACTGTCCGAACTTACACTTTCAATGTCCTTTTTACACGCAAAAAGAAAGAAAAAAAGAATAAAAATTCACGAGTTTATTAGAAAATAAAAAAGATCGATAACTTCATTTCTTCCACGCACTAACACTCACTGGTGTCTTCGATAATGCAACGACACACCAAAAAACGTGCCCAAAACAATGATGTACAATAATATATTATCACGATGGTAGTGAACATCGTCAGCTACAATAAACAACGTATGATCCTGGTGATGGGCGATCAAGTTATCAAATTTGAGACGATCAGCGTATCTCATCGATAACAAACGTTTTCCAACATTTCCTCGAAAAGCTTGTTCATTGGTACTTTGCCTATTCTATACACGTTGGACCAGAAACGTCTAATGACTCCATCGGCTTGTCTGAGACTGGGCAGTACTAGTAGCATGTTTTGCGTGGCTCGGAGTGCTTGTCCCGGTCTCACCGCCGCCACACAATCCGACAAGGAATTCAATATCGAATCTCGGAAACGGTACAGAGCCTGGGGTTCGTCAGATTTAGCGTCACTATTCGCTAGAATCAGTGCTTTCAACACATAGTATTCTTCTCGCGTTAAACCTAATCGTTGAATTCTCTCGACGATTTGTATACACTGTTAAAAAAAAAAATACAATAAGAATATATATACACATTGGCGAGTCGTAAAAGTATAAACACAATAAAGCAATTTATCACGACGTTAGCTCTCTATTTCGTTATTGAAAAACCTCTTTCTAAATAACATCTTAAATATATATTTAATAAAGATGAATATATGAGAGAGACGTGATTTTCAATAGTATATAACATGTGATTTTTCTTTATTATCTTATTGAATTATTCTAAATATAATAAACAAATTTATTTTTCTGTTTAATAGTATTTAAAAATATTAATATTATAGTAATATACCAAGGTATATAATTGTAGATAAACTTTTATTTAAAAAATTACTTACGTGAGTATAAAGCTCCGTACAATGGCACTCACGCGCGAGTCGTTCATCCAACGTAAAATCTTGCGCAAACCTCAATCTGCCATTGTTAGGCGTACTTCTCCATGCCAGGGTAAAGGTTAATACCTCAGCCCAAGTAGTTTGCAGAAGTCGCATTTGATCGTTCAGCGCTAAATTGGTGAACCCTGGAATTTGCTTGGCCCAACCTACAAGAAAACGGATTAAACATTCACTAAACAAAGAAAAATTTCAAGCATAACTCACTGTTAATATACTATCACGCGTCCAATAATTACCGATTATGCTGACTAATTCTCGGTCATAGAGATCAGATAATTGTGCGAGGGTTTTCTGATCCGCCTCCTGTGTACTCGGGGCATTGGTTACTTGAAGTATATCTGGTTCACAGGCCGCCAAGGCTTCGACCAACTTGTTGTCTGCAAAAGACGAGACACGGTATGTCTTTTTATTTATATTGTCCTAAGGTAAAGCGCTAAAATACGACAATTAATAAATGCTGATAATGAAAATTTAATGCTATAAATGAAGAAAGTTTACAAGCATTAAACAATGAAATGTAATAAATAAATTATAAAATCAAAATAAAATTAAAAGATTAATAAAGCAAATCACATATCGTGCAAAAATACACGGTAACAATTATACTTGATAGCTTACTTATCGTTTCAGTAGAACCTGCCGACACTATGTCGGCTACGTTAGCTTGAAATGTGAAACATTGAGTAATGAAAATAAAGTTAATGATGTAAATGGTCTTTCGAAACAGAGAATTATTATTTCTAATAGATATCTTTCTTCATTATATGATAAAATATATATGAGATGAGAGCGAGCGTGGCACAGCAAACAGCGTATTAGTCTACTGTATTAGAGATCCCGGTAGAACTAAAACATTTTCATACGCTCGTGTCTCCTCTCGAAAGGAAACGGCAACCCACTGAAAGTATCTTTGCTAAGAGAACTTCTCTAACAACAAAATTTTTTATCATTTCAAATTGACATTAAACTGTATGGAACTGTGTCCCATATGACTGTGTACAACCAGCGTGCGTACCACAGGCATATGAGAGAAGTCACCAAGCTCGGCTACGAGCAACAAGACTGAGAAGAAGAAGATATGAGATATGATAACACGAAATTGTATTGATATCAGACAAGTACCCTCTAATGTGGCATTCTTGATTGGAGTATAAGGATCCGTGGATCTTCTATACTTTTGTCGACCACCTCGAACACGGTCCAATCTCACGCCTTCTTTCAGCATTCCTTGCCGCAAACATTTCTGAAATCTACACGCCTGGCACGCCTTACGTCTTCGTTTGTTTATCTCGCATTCGCCGTTCGCCGGACAAGTATACTCGATATTTCCTGTAAAATTACTAGCTATTTTATCGTAATATACACGGTCTGTTGTCCCAGATAGCACCAACTGTCTTCAAACCTATAATTACAAAGGGTCACGTACATCAAAATATACGGTCCGAAATATAGTAATAGATCGTTTGTATATACGCGCGTATACAAATACCACACGATCGAAAATGCACATTAGCATAGTCCTTGGTGCTATCTGGACGAATTATTGCGACCTGTTACGGAAATCGATAAGCTAGCTCACCTTGTATAGTTCTCTTGAAGAAAGCCTTGCATGCCTCGCAGGAGGCAACCCCGTAATGGAAACCGCTCGCAACGTCACCACAGACAAGACAGAGTCTCCTGGGCATCATATCTTCTTCTTTAATGCCGTCCTACAGAAACGACAACAATTCTTCACAACAGTTCAAATATAAATCATCCCTAATATAAACTCATACGAAGAAATATTAACGCGACGCGATCACGCACCTCTGGAGTTCCCAACGGTTGCGTCGTTGAAGAACAATGATGTATTTCTGGACTCTCGGGATTACCGTTGCTGTCACCGTAATCCGTAATGTCTAATTTCGTGCATATTGACTGAAAATATATGATTAAAACAACATGAAGTAATATGATAAAGGTTAATGTGTATACAAAAAAAATATATATATTATATTAGGCAAGCCATGGCAAAATTATTGTAAATTGCCAAAATTGTAAAAATACGTTTTATTGTATGAATGGATTGTATGCGATGTTCTATCACATATTAACATTTGACGCAATAGAAAGCTATTATACTTCAAGCAAAAAAATGGATAGTGCAACTCCAAACGTTGTCCAATGTACAGCTGGCATTTTTATTTGGACTTAAAATGTTTTGAAATTTTAACAACTTCAATATAATTTTTTTAAAATTAGAATTATTTAATTATAAATTGTTGTAGAGATTAATTATTCTATTATCTATCTTTAACGATCACAGTAACTGTTTTATAGAATTTTTTAAGTAAGTTTTCAAGAAAAAAAAAGTTATTTCTTTTTCCTAAAAAATTTTAAAAAAATGACATTTATAATATTTTTGCTGTGACACATCTCATGTATATAAAATATACATAAAATAAGAACGATGCGAAGAAATGTAGAAATAAATACACTTGAAGTAATAATTAACAATACAATATGAAGAGATATCGATGTGAAAGAAGATAAGAAGAAATTGGATGAAAAACATATGAAGAAATATCGAAATAACGATTGACACAAATAATGTGAAGAAATACAATAAGAAGAAATATATGAAAAAATATACGAAAAAATATAATTGAAGTAATAATTATGTCTGTTAAGCTAGCACCCCCTTCCCCCCACAAAAAATCAAAACGGCACCTATGCCAGAATTAAGTGCTATTTATGTGCTAATTATGTGCTCTAATGCCAATTTTTGTGCTCGAACGGTTTAGCAGAAAATTGCAATTAAAGGTGGGGGTGCTAGCTTAACGTTAAGTTAGCCCCTCCCCTATTAAATCATACACAGAATTTAAAAAAATAGTATAGTAAAATTATGTGCTTTTTATGTGCTTTCAATATCATCAATCAAAATTATTACAACAATAATGGTTTCAGAGATACACATATATATCTATAAATTTCGATACATAATAGAGTAAAGTACATAAATAGATAAAGTACATAAATAGAGGAACAATTTGAGACTAAAACCAATTCGCTGTCTGCACTCTAACTAGCACTTTACTCTTGCACCGTTGATTTTTTGTGGGGGGAGTGCTAGCTTAACAGACATGTAATAATTAACACAATGTACGATATACTTAATAAGATAATAATCATAATAAATAAGTGCAGCTGATAAGAAATTTCCTGAACAATACCTCCTGATGCTGAAGAGTCGTGGTTGGCGAACACACTTGATAATTTTGTGTGGGCGTTGTTGGGTTATCGATTTCCTGCTTAATGTTTGGCATTGTCCTGTTATTCCCGATCACGCTTTCCATAGTAGCGTCAGACATCATACAGACCTGTCGAGGTACGAGAAAGAGAAACGTACAGTTTCTGAGATAATAATACGTAGTATCCCCGAGCGTGAATACCCTCCCTTATTGTTGTAACGATACTAAAAGCGACTAATTCTTAACGCGAGAACACACGAAATATCACCCGCCGCAGTCGGAGCTGCACTTCTTTTTTGCGCCTGCTATATTTAAGCACGGCCAACGCCTCGAGCATTTTTAGAATTGACTTCAGAGAATTCGAGGTACCGCCATATCCAATATCCTCGGCGATCACGCTCTCCTCTCCTTGGACCACCCTCGAGGATCCTACATGCAATCGAATACACGCAAATCGGATTCTACGGGAAGTGCAAAAACTGAGAACCACTATCGTTACGAATCGCGTGTAAACACTATCTTGCACGAGCACGGGATAAGATTACCCGAGGCATACAAATTGCCGACTCGACGATAATTCTAGTCGCTGTTTAAGACTTCGGTGAAACTTCGGTACAAAATATAAATTGATTCCTTGTTTATATTGTCGAAAATATTTAAAGATCAATTTCCGTATACATAGATACTCCAGTATTTAAAACTCAAAACAGAAATCGGGGAAACAAATCCAAAGTACATTGGAGTTGGAAATTACTTCGAAACGAACAACAGCGCATATTTCTAGAGAGAATGATGAAGAAATTCTTAGCTTTTAGCGGAATAGATTTAGACAAGAATAAAAAAATTAAAAAATAAATTTCTCGTAGAAAAAAGATCAAGTTAAAGCACAATATTAAAAAAGAACATGATGCGTAGAAAAATAATCTTATGATGTAACAACTGTAATAATAAAATGACGCTATTAGGGTGGTATAGATACGAAACAACTGCTGGAGTTAATAAGAATTATTTAAAATGTGATAAAAGCATTTACTTTGAATTTGAAATGGATGTAAAAATCCATAAGAAACTTCTTCTGTATGGAATATTCAGAGAAGGAAAAGAATTCGTTAAAAAATGAATTTCTCGCAACAGATCGAAAGTTCAAGTATATACAGAAGGAGAAACATGTGTATAACAAGTACGATTTAACAGTTGGTAATAAAATAATGCTACGGCAATGCTGAATACGAGACAACTGCACCCTAGATTAGGTCGCTGGTGAACAAAGTAACGGTGAAAGGATTGCGTAAGTCCCCTTTCTCTCCTTCCATCCTGTTTGGCATCATGTGTCGTGTGCCAGCAGAAAGCGAGACTCGAGCAGACGGAAGGGAGCGCGGCGCAGCATCTAGTCGGCCTTGAACTTGATTTTTTTCAGATGCAAACTCGCACGTTTCCATTCGGCAAACCCAATATGGCACCAACTCCGGATTCGTATATTCGAATCACGCGTCGGCATGTATTCGGATCCTCACGAAACTTAACCGGGATTTTTTCCAAAGCGTTTTGCACGCAAAAAAGAAGCCCAATCATGATTTCATTTCACGTTCCCATGGATTCAATTGTGACTGATCGTCAAAGCGGACCTTGAAAACGAGAGACGGAATAAACGTCGTGGAATTCAGGACAGCAGAAAACTCGGTGTGAATCGCTTTGCTACCCACGTCCGTTTAATGCTTCTTTTTTCTTTCTTTCGAACACGAGCTTGCTTCGTAATATCAATGTGTCAAGACCAATGATCTCGGAGCCACCTCCCTTTTGGCATGCACGCCGCGAGCATAAATCTATAAAGCGGGTCGCGACAGCTAAAACGCGAGCTTCTTTAGTGCTGTTTAGTGCGGAACATCAGTGCAACCGGTCCTACGGTTTGTTCCAATATATTCTAGCGGGACAAGTTGCATACACGGAGGAAAGGGTTGCGTAAGTGTTCTCCTCCCTCCTCGTTCGATTGAGAGCTCGAAAGGCGGACATGAGAAAGGCAAGGGGGACTGAGCAAGAGAGAGACAGACAGATCGAGAGAGAAACAGATATGCCTCGCCGGCCTTGAACTTGACTTTTCTACGAGAGAGTGAGAAGCTGCCGCGTTCGCGAAGGCCGCGGAGCCACGCCATCGCAATTTTAGACGCCGAGCGCCGGCGGAAACGGCCGACAACGACGGCCTTGGGCTTCTCAATCTCGTTTTATCTCGTTTTATCTCCTCCTCTGTCCTACCTTCCTGCCTATACGTCCGTGACTCCCCGTTCCGCTGCGCGCCGACGCGACGCGACACGATCCCGACGCTATTACCGACAACTTAGCACCCCACTTTCAGAATATTAATATAATTGAAGAGACCTGACTTCTTCCTCAAAAAGAAGCAAACGTCAAATCTGAATTAAACATGTTTAAAAAAAAAAAGAAGAGTCAATTACAGCAATTAACGTAAGAAAAACAATTAGATTTAAAGGTCTCTCCGAAGCTACGAGGCTTCAGTTTAATTCCAATTTAACATCTCTTCCTGAAAAACATTTCTCAACTCAATTTTAATTTAAAAAATAAAAAATGATGCAAAATATTTGAGATAAAAAATAAAAATAAAAATTTTTTACTATCTTCGTATGACAGGAGTTTAAAATTGACAGTTAAGTAATAATAACTTTCCCATATGAAGTATTTTAAAACCGTTTAGAACTTTATCTAGTTAATCGATATCCTAAGATTTCAAGAAATCGTGGAATACATGATAACACACAAAAAACATCGACAAGACATGTTGCAACAAAATGAACAAAAGTTTCAGTCCACTATCAGTCCGACTAAGAATGGGAAACCGTCGTTAATTTCAATAACCACGATCGATCGAAAAATGAGGATTAATTACGAACTGAGCTCGTGCGCAATCATGGAGTAAATAAAAGATATTCATTAACCTCTTCGTTCGAAATTGGATTACCAGAGGTAAAAGATTCTAATGTAGATATGTATATAAAAAATATAAAAGACGTTTTGTTGCACTGTTGAAATGCGTCAGTTTCTTCATGAAAAAAAAAAAAACGGTTTCGCTAGAGTATGTAAAAATGTAGCTAGATACAGATCTGAAAATAATTTTGTTGGACCATTAAAATAATTATATAGAATACTCAAGTTGCTAGAATGTCGAAACTTTTTGCAACAATGCTAAAAATAGTAGAGTTTTCTACAATTATTTCAATAATAATTCAATAATTATTTTCATATCTGTACCTACCTAAAAAAGAGAAACTAATTAAAAGATAATAATTGATTTTGAAAGATTGAGGCTTTTACAATGCTACACGGAAGGAATTGTTTTGTTGAAATATCTAAAAATCTATATATTATATAATACATGTAAATCTTGAAATAAATTTTGTGGGACCATCAAAATAATTATGTAGGAATTTTGCTAAAGTATTTAACAGTATTTAGTTAGATACAGATCTGAAAATAATTTGTTAGTTCATCAAAATAATTATGCAGAGTGGTCAAGTTGCTAAAATGTCGAAATTTAATGCAACATTGTACATCTATTAAGCTGAACCCCCCACCATCGCAAATCGAGTTGAGACTGGGTCAAAAATTTAGTGCTTTTTAATTGCTAATTTGTTACCCAAGAAAAATTTTTTTGCTCCAGCCGTTTAGCAGTATTTAAAAAAAATGGAAGTTCTAGTTTAATATTAAGCTAGACCCCCCATAATAAAAAAAATAGATACAACAAAAATAAGTATACCAGATCTTTTTTGCTTTTTATTTGCTCCAAGATAGCATCAATAGAATGTTGAATTTTAATATTTTTAAAGAAAAATCAATACTTGTACAATCGTAAAAAATTGTCAAAATGGTATCCGGAAAGATCCAATCAACGTAGAATCTCGACAAACGCGTTTTGGACTTATGATCTTTAGATCGATTTTCTAAATCCAAACCTCCTTAAAAAAATAAATAGCGAAAAACCGCAAACCGCGCTCTAAAATGCCTTGTCAGATCTCCACAGAATTAGTTCATTACAGTATATTGATGTGTTGAAGCAGGTCGGCCTTTTTCTCTTCGTTATGTTTTATAAATTATCATGGCATTAAAATCAGCCTTCGCCATGGTAAAAGTAAATGTTAATAACATTACCGATATTATTTACAGGAATATCAAAATAATTTATCGAGGAATATATTGTTAAATCAATCATGATTGATTCAATACTATTATCAATGCTCGGTACCTTAGAACTATGATGTTCGATAATCGTTGGCTGATGAGAGACAAAAGAACGATCAGTTAATATATCTCTTAGGTTACTTTTATTGCACGAAACATATGTATATAAAGAAATTGGGTTTATCTGATTATCTAATTCTTTTGCCATTACAACCCAAATATTGTCAAGTTTCGAAACAATTTTATGATCGTTCACTATCAAGCGGTCCTTATAAGCCATTAATTTATTCATAAGAGCATCTTTATCTATCTTCGATGGTCTTCCAGATCGTGCAGGCATGACGGTACAGCAATGTTAATCTTCTTTGGCACAATATAAAAAAACACAATCGTACGAGACGCAATAAAAAAAATAAAATAAATTCTCGTACGAAAAGCCACGAACGAATAATGAACGAATTAGGGACGAAAAAAAACAACACTACACGAAACACTCAACCAAAAACCGAAACGCGGAAAACGCGACGTATCTTCGATCGAGCAATAACCAGGGCTACCAAACTGCCGTGGTTTTTGCGTTACCACCGTTCGTGATTTCTTCTCAGAAGTCTGTCTTTATTGAAAGTTCAGCTGAAAGCGCTTGGTAGAGACATAATGATTATAAGCACTTAAAGCAACGTGAATGTCCATAATGAACGGAGCCATTGGTGCCCGGAAACGATGACAGCCATATTGAATATTAGTTCCTCATCTCCGGTTGTCATGCCCTAGACGGCGCCACAAACGGTGGTAACCATCGACATCTAACGGCGTGTTCAGATTCCCACCCGAGTGCTCCCTGGGTGTCATGTCATCCTTGTTTAACATTTGGCAAACAATAAGGATACTTGAGTGGCACTCGAGTGGGAATCTGAACATAGCCTAGAATGGACCGCTGATAG